TGAATCCTACCTAGTGGCAGGCATTGAGAATAACTACATAAAAACAGCCTATAATGCGTGGTCATATAGAGGCATCAGTATTCAATTAAGACTGTTTCATAAGCAGGTAAAAACTCCTTGTAGTACATTTAGCAGTTAGGAGTAACCAGCGTTACACTGTTTTGTACAACATTAAAAAATATGGCGACGTCTCTAACTTTTAGCTGTCTACTGAAAGTTTGTTTAAAGCTTTAAAGATGGAATAAAGACCAACCACACGGATTCTGCATACTCTGCCGCAGTGAGACTGTCACATGTATTTGTTTATGCGTTCTTTCAGTAGAACAAGTACAAAGAAGTCCTATTTCTGTTTTAGCTGAGGCTCTGTCAGCACAGAATAAACACACTAAATGAAACAATTGGCCTGATTTCTCTGTTTTATACTATACTGCGCTATCAAAATCACTTTGAAAATCACATATTGAGGTAGATGTTTCACTCCAGGCTGCGAAGTCAAACCGAGCTCTCTTTAAAAAAAGAAGAAGCTCAGAAGTAATAGGGGGGACTGAGGCGACAGCATGTCAAGAGTGTGAGAGTGTGAGCGAGAGGGGAAAGACAGAGATGTGAAAGTGTGTAAATAGTGAGAAAACCGGAGTCGGTTCCAGACAGTGTGAGACGGATCAGAGACAGAGAAGAGTGTGCGACTGTGTAGGTTACGCGCCTTTACGACCTCTTAACATATCAATGCGGAGAGTGATGGGGGAGATTGGAGTGGAGGAAGCGAGGAATTAATGAGAATGCATTTAACCTCTAGGCTGTACATTCATCTGCGCTCCAGAAAGGAGACCCACTGAATTAAATCACATCTCATATCCCTGAGCGCAGCGATGGAAGGAGTGGATGGGCTCGGGCTGCCCTAGCAACAGCAGCTTCAAAAGCTCCACTCCTCTGCTCCTCGTGCTTCTTTTTTCATCTCCTCTGCTTTCGCTCTCCTTTCTTTTCATTTCTTTTTCCCTCCTCTCTTTTTATTCCCTCTCATCTTCTTTCTTTTCATTTCTTTTTCCCTCCTCTTCTTTTCCCTTTCCACTCATTTCATTTTCTTCCACATCCTTTCCTTTTGTTTCCTTCCCTCTCCTCTCCTGTTCTTTCCTTTCATCCCTCTCCTTTCTTTTCCTTTCCTCCCTTTCCATTTTAGTCCAGGTGATCTGAAATGAAAATGAAAAATCGCCTCCAGTTTAGCACATATCACCTGGACTACTATATTTTCTTTCCTCTCTCGCCTCTCCTCTCCTCTCATCTCCTTTCCTCTCCGTTCTTTTCCTCTGCAAATTAATGTTTACATTTCATTCAAGAAAATTATGTGTTTCCTTTTTTAGAGTAACTGGAAGTATAATTACATTTAAAAAAAGCTTCAGATCAGCGAATGTCTTACCCAGTAAATTGACTTTAATATCAGAAAGCATATACTCGCAGTAGGGCTCTATTTTTTAAATTACAGATATCTCATTTTGGAATAAAACCGCTCAATTTCACTGAGTCAGTGGACAAGAAAATAAGAGGACTGTGTTCTGATTCAATCTATTTGGAACCACTTTGCAAGCACATTATCCCTTCAGTGCACAAGATGAACCGGGCCAGATAACACACATCTATTCTACCGCGCCGCTTGATTCACTCATCCAGAGCAGGAAAAATGTCTTTTCTATCCTCAACATGAACAACAAAGCTCCTCCATTAGTGTTTGCTGGGTAAAGGAAGGTCAATAAATTAATGGCAACGCCTTCACACAATTCCGTTGTTTATTTTCCATCTGAGATCATGCAAATGGAGTGAGCTCCAAAGGCCAGAAATGCTGGAAAATATTGTTTCACTAGATCTCTATCAAAGGCACTGGTTTAGAAAACCGAACCCATATCTCGCAGTGTTCCAGTGTCCCTGCTCTCTGCCATCTGTTCTGCTGTGTTTGAATAAGGCTTGTGTTGTCTCATAATCTGCCATACAAACTGTGCTGCTCTTGCCGTGCTGTAATGTGTGGTGTTTTCCAGCCATTGCTCTGCATTTGTTGTCCTTATCTCCTCGTGACACATCTGTGTGAGTGAATGTTGCTTCTGTAATGTGTGTTTGTCTTTTTGCCCGTCCCACTGGAAGGTCTTTCACTGCGTTGTACTTGTCTTATTAAATAAAGATCAAGGTAGATAAATGGATGCCAGTGATACATGTCCCCTACTGTCGTGTCTCTGGGTGCACGGGACACCTCGAACATAGTTCCAATCAACAGTTAAATCACCGTTTGGAAAAAAGACTTCAAACTTCAGGTAACCATAGCAACAGTACTTCTGCTTCATGCTATGTTACCAGCTATGTCTCACTGGTGAAACAGAGCCAACTAACTTACTAAATGACTACTAACACACTATAGTTATAAACTGGGGGTGGAAGGTTTGAAAGATGAAGGCGTCTACCACTCCGGGACGGTCTCATAAAAAGACACAGCAGCATTTTTGGAGCTCGACCCAACAAGTCAGACTACAAATCAAGCATTTGCAGCTGTTTTGAGTGGCCATGCTCAAAGGTAGAATGAAAAGCTGGCCATCATAGTGCACATTTTCAGACTCCTGGAAGACATTCATAGATGAAATCACCTGTTAACATTAAAGGTGCCAGAAAAACAATAAAAAAGAGAGCTAGACCCTTAGGCAGATGTCTCCACTGCTTTTGGGAAATAATATTTTGAATTTTGTGACTTTTTTGCATGAAACAAAGTGTGAAAAGAAAACACTGTCTTACCTGCAGGATCTTGCACCTCTCAGACTTGCAGGAGATGTCGTCACAGGGATGAAACATGCCCAGTGTCACACAGTTCAGCAGGATCACCAGCATGGACGCTCGTTCGAACCATGTAGAGAGCAGCAGTTAAGGAATATAACAGACAGACACATAGCACCAGCTTGTAAACCAATGACAAGAACTTGCAGTAAAAACTAGGCTTTCTCCAGTGACCTCATTATCCCATTCAAATGTATAAACTCTTCTGACAAAGTGATGCACGTTTATCTCTTCTACTCCTATCAAAAAATGTTTTTGAGAGGAAAAATGAGCCACCGAGGACTCTGGGAAGTGAGAAGGCCCACCTGTGGCTGATCTGAGTGGCAGTCATTGCTCCCATTTCACCCTGTTAACCAAAGATCTGTTTGCAAGGCGTGATGGAAAATGTTCAGATTGTTAGCGAGGGTGCTGGATAGGCACTTTAAAGAGATTGCGTGAGGCAAAAAAAAATAAACAACAGCGGCAGGTGCTGAGAGACCGGGAGGCTGACTGAGCCGCGTATGAAGTATCAGGCTTTAGAGCTAGTGAATGTGAAGACGTTGTGATGCATCGCGCATGAATTTTATTGACCGCAGGGTCGGAGTGAGCATTCCTAATGTGGTTAGGTTAAAAGACAGCCTGAGCTATGTGACACCAATCAATGATGAGACCAAACACAGATTAGGCTGAAACTGCTTCAGTAAACACACACACATAGACTACGACACAGGGCTGCAAGCATACGCACAAACACACACCCACATGTATTATAGATTGCTACTGCATCCACAGTCAGCACCCTGCATCCAGCCTGGTTAACAATGTTAGACAGAATAGACTGTTTGTCATCCAAGTGTGCGAGTGTGTGTGTGTGAGCTTAAAGGAAAGTGGTGCCTTTCATCTGTTTGTGTGTGTGTGTGTGTAAAAGTGTGCACACAGGCCGCGAGGACAAACGATCTGTCCGTCTTTTATCGCATTAGCCGCCGCTTGCTCATTCATCCCACTGACCCATAATGCAGCTGGGTCAGCATGGCCCCACAGCCGACACATTAGATAAGTGAGTGCAGGACGAACCAGAACAGTTAAAGTCCGGACCTTTAACTTCCCACCTTTATGCTGGTCGAAAGCCGCCACCGCAGGCTGCACGAGTTTCAAAGCAGATTTGAGAAAAAAGACGCAAAAAACAGATTCATAGCAGAGAGCAAATATCTCAGCTCCATATTTGTACAAAGGTATGTTTTTTTTCCTCCAAAATACCAGTCACCCAAAGTGTGGATGAAAGGAAAATAATGAAGACATGACATTTCAAAGATACTAAAACATGCCTTTTCTGTCTAATACAGCTGCATAACAAACTGACCGCCACACCAGCACCGAAAATTTATAACAGAAACTTGGGGCACAAAGCAATTCGTTTCAATGGAAATCAGTGGACTCGTTAGCTGTGGCAAAGCAAATCCACCGGAAGGCAGAGCGTATGGTTGACTTTGGTGAACTTTGACACACAAATTTGGCATTCTTAAAGCATTTTAAAAAAAAACACTTGTTAATCCCGGGTATTCATGAGGACTACAAATTTGAAACAGAAACCCTGCATTACGAGTTAGGGGTGTAGAGTGTCAAAGATACAGCTGTTCCCCAGACAGGGGAGCCTCTAACAAAAGATACTATCAAGTTGCATTAAGGGAAGTGTAGGATCCAGGGTTTTTGGAACTTGACCCCTAACTGTCTAGGTTATGTTAGTCTCTGCAGCTTTAATTTTGACCATTTTATTTTTAATCAGTCTGTCGTAAATCCCCCAACTTTATGGAGGTACTAAAGTAAGTCGCAACAGTTCCCCTTAAAGCGTTGTCTTAAGAGTACTGTCTCTGGCATGAAAGTCAGTGCTCATCCACCACCCCCAACCTCCAAACCTTTACTTTATGCCTCGCTAACAAAGGCCTATATTGGCTCTGAACACTGGCATCGGACATAAATCATCATCCAGGGGTTACCCGGCCTGAATGTGATACTCTGTGGTAGTTCCAATACAGTATTGAACAGGAATATTGAATAATAGATGCAGGCTGGGGGGAAGTTGAGGCTGTGACCACAAGGAACCACAGTACCATCAGTTGGGTAATAATGGTTGAATCTGGAAGGCAGCACAGGATTATGTTACACACCGGAGGATGCACAGAAAGTTCTGTGAGTCCAATGGGATGCAATTAAAAAGATCAGTCAGGATGGAGAGTGGGATCATTAAACGGGAAACAAAGGCTCAGACACTCAGGTCTGTAGTTTGAGAGTGGTGGCACTGAAAGTTTTAGGCAGAGTAAACTGTTGTTGACACGCAGCGGTAGCATCGGCAAAGGTTTGCAGTTAAGGCGAGAGAAGGTGGGGCTAATTAAAAATAATGAGCTGCATAGGTTGTCTGTGTAAGCTACTGATATCATCAGCCTTCATCAGGGCTGAACACACAGTGTCATTTTAGTTCAGTAAAGTCTCTATCTGAAAATACAGACATTTTTCCAGCAAGTATACAATGACTGGTTTACAGTTTCTAAATTGGCTTTTTTTAGCATTACATTTCTAATGTATTTTGTGATGGTGTAGCAGAATATGTGTGCTATTATAACAGGACTGTTTTTCAAACAGTGGGCAGTATTCCCTCTGATATTGTGGTGAACAGATCTGGAATACAAAGTACACATTAAGAGCTTTTTAAATATAAAAATTTAAAAATAAATAGTCATAACATTTAATTCATGATGTCTACTTAGTTCCTAGCTATGTCACATCCTTTCTTCTTTTTTTTCTATTATCTTTTTAAAATCCTGCATTCTGTAAAATGTTACCAAAGACAGAGCTGTGTACAAAAATAGAGTAAAGTATTATTACTGTCTGCCACTATGGACAGAGTGGTTCACTGAAGGCATTACATGGTCTGTTATTTAGCAAGGCTGCTATCTTGCTGCAGTAATAATCAATAGACAGGCAGGTTGGGGTTCGGGGAGTTGGACAAACTGCAAGACGGACAATTGACTGGCAAACTGACTCAACAGACTTAAAGTGAGACTATGTAACTTTTAAAAGTTCCTCTTACACAAAAAAGTTCAAATAATGTTCTATTAGCTGTTATCAATGTTCTTATGTCAAAGGAGTGACTCTTAGTAACAAACCCCAAAATTATCACCCGCTCACCTCCCTTCATCTCTGCAGAGCTTTAAGCATCTTTCACTGTTTGGGTTTGAAATGAAACTTTACTGTTTCATTCTCATTACTTTCATAGCAATATTTTCAGTTGTAGCAGGCAGATGTTTTCTACAAAAACACTATGATAAACCCAATGTACAAAATTAGCGATTAGTAAGAGAGAGCAGATGTTTCCCTTTTGATGGAAACCAAAAACAAAGCTAAAAGGAGAGTGAACATTGGACTTACTCCAAATGAATGCTAATGTTGCTCTGTTGCACTGGATATGTATTTTAGCAACATACCAGCATGCTAACATATCAACTTTAAAGGTGATAATGTATCAGCTTGTTTCTGCTGCCCCAAGTGGCCACAATTAGCATGTTAAACTCAGAGCAGTGAGTTATGCTACAGCCTTGAGAAGTAGCTTTTGGTGGCTAGTGTTAGCAAACTGCAGATAGCTCTTTCTGTGTATATGACACTTCTGAGTAATTTTGCTGACTTTATTAGTTACTGTTGACTCTACCTGTGCTACCGACTGTGTGTTAGCATTTCCCATCATTCTGTAATTACCAGATTAGCTTTTGAGGGAGCTAATGCTAATGCTAACAGAAATAACAGAACTGAAATGCAAAAATGGGTTCCTTATGGGTATTTTTAGCACTAGATAGTGGACAGCAGACTGTTTTATGGGCTAAAATCAAGCTGGAAAACAAACTTAAAACCAAAGAGGAAAATAAATTATATCAGGTTCACAAAGACAACTCAAACCTCCAACGGTAGATTTTTATCTCTCACAAGGAAAAGAAAAAGGAAGCATTATTTTAAGGGCGAATGAGACTGTGAACCTGGCAGCCTCACCGCTGCCCTTGACCTCGCGTGTTGACAGCATTACATTTTTATTGGTGCACTTCAGACCCTGCCGACTGATGAAGCGTATGAAATGTATTGTTTATTGGCGGTTTTAAGCGACTAAAATAAAAGTAGAGAATTTATTAATGAAAAGATATCAAGGCGAAGACAGAGGGGAAGGCTTGGGCAGAAGGATGGAGACAAAGCAAAACATTAAATATGAATAATCTGACTAATTCAATCAATAACTCTTCCTCTTGTGCCCTCGTTCTCTTCCTCTGTCTCCCCAGCTGGTGGGCTATAATTAAACAATAAGGAGAGCGTGTTTGCAGTGTTCTGCCTTCAGCATGGCACACACACACACACACACACACCTTCATGGTGTCAGCATATAAATAAGCGGTGACGCCCTGAGGGATGGATTCAATTAGAGGAAAGATACACAAGGATATGCTCTGTCAAAACTCTGAAGGCAAGAAGCCTGCACTACGCCACAGACACACACACACGCGCGAATACACACACATGTAAACTCACACAACAATGCTTTCATCAGAGAGGCAACATTATCAAACTCATCAACACCTCAAAAAGTATTCTGTGCTCTGCTCTCATGGGCTCTCTTTAGTCATTCCTCTCTCACACACACACACACACACACATGCGCACACAAACAAATTTAGAGCTCCTTTCTTCTTGCCTAATGAAGGGAAAATAATATGCAAGCCTTATGTCTGTCCTCCCCATGCCTCCCTGCATCACACTGCTGATTCACTCTGATTCTGTCCACTAATGATCTGACACCAGACACAAGGACAAACACAACAGGGAAGAGAAACAGTGCATACATGTAAATATGTGCGTGTGTGTGTTTGTGTGTGAGGGTAGCTCTAGAGAGCAGAAAGGAGAAATAAGGTAACGGAATTCAAAAGAGCAAAGTTTGGTGTAAAAAAAGTTTCACCTCATCTCATCAAGTTCTCTCCAACTCTTATTTCTTTCATGAGAGTGGGGGAATGAATCCTCCGCAGGAAGAGATGAGCTGCACACAC